ACACACACACACACACACACACACACACACACATACACACACACACACACACATCAGAAAAAATAACAGACTCGCTCACATTCAAATAAACAGCCACTGACATCAAGACACCCACAGTCCTACAAACATAGCAGAAATTAGTGTAGACAGCTCGTTGTGCCAAATTCTATATTTAGACGATTTGAGAGATTAACACTATTTTTTGCTCCCAAACTGTTAGAGCTCTGGGGAAAATGTAGGTAATTTTACAGTTCCATTGACACAAATTAACTTTATTCGGTGGATGGCTTTGGTCCTGACTGTAAGGATTTTCTGAACTAAGAGGAATACATGTACAACGTCAAAGAAAAGAACACCAAAATATTCTGTGAAAAGTCTCTCCAAACGGGAATCGAACTCAGGTCATTAGTGTGCAAAGTGAAACGCTGAACAGCTACACCACAGGTGCCAGTAGTGCTCTAAAAAAAAAAAAACCTCCCGTAACCACTTTTATAGGTCCTACATTTTGTAGAGGTTCGCTTATGTTTCTGATCTTGTAAAGGATTTTTGTTTTGCTTTGTTGGCTTTTGTTTTGTTTTGTTTTTTGTTTGGGGGTGGTGTTTGGGTTGTTCTATGATGGGTAAAATCAAAATACTCATTTAGCTTGTCTCTGTTTCTGGAGCGTTGACACAGCAATACATAACTGGTTTTTAGTAATTCTATTGCACCAGGTAGCTCCATCCACTCAACTTGTTATATGGGTGGTTGAAGGGTACCACTGGTAGGACCTACGTTTCTATCTCTTGATCGTACTTTTTTTGCAATCACAGAATAAATTAGTATTCTGTCTATATGTTTCTCTTTACACGAACAAAGAACAGATTATTATGTTCAATCTGATTTTTTTTTCACTTCGGATAGGCATGACACACCACTGATCGATGAGGCACCCTATCCTTCTTATAATCGACAAACTTTTCAGCTATTGTAAGCTTAAAAATAACAAGTTACCTGTCATTCGCGAATGAAAATATTATCATTATGGGAGGCACAAGCAACAATCCTTGTCGAATATAATGGATTTTTACAAGGTAAATGCATGGCATGCCCTACTGAGAAAAAAGAAAGAATATCGAGTGAACATACTGTACTGTGTAACCCACGGAAACGTCAAAAAGGATAAATAAAAAAATGACAATAACGACGTGAGGTATCGGTGGCGTTTCGGTGTTGTTTCATTTTGTAGATCCCTTTACAACGTCTCTGGCTATCACCACTTCTCTCGCCTTTGGGGCGATTAGTTTCTACGGATATCCAGCTTTATCATCGTCAGACTGTTCTTACCAGCGTCCTTGTTATGCTTGGCCCGTCCTGAAAACGTGTGTTCTTGCCTCCCGTTACAAGATAGGTTGACCTTTGGATAGAGGCGGAATGTTGCTATTGTTGCTGTTACAAGCAATAAACTGTTGCGAAGAAGAAACATACAGATGGACGCGTCACGGAGCCAGACAACTCTATGCCTCATAGACTGGATACGCTGGATGGTTTCGCTGTATGATACCTTGTGCCCTGCTTAGGGAGCAGTTTCATTATACAAAACCTTGCACTGCGTCGGAAACAGTTTTACTATACGATACCCTGCACTGCGTCGGAAACAGTTTTACTATACTACGATACCCTTTACTGCGTTGGAAACACTTGTACTGAACAATACCTTGCACTACATTGGAAAAACGTTTAACTATAAGATACTTTGTAGGAAGTTGTTTTACTGAACGATACCTTGTACTGCGTTTTGAAGTAGATTTGCTGTACGGTGCATTGTGCTGCGATGGAGCTGAGGACACTCCATAACATTAAGATTTAGTGAACGAATCTCGTTAGGCCATGCGCACACTATTAAACTTCATATTTATGCTTCTCGACTCGACTGGGAAATATGATGTCACTTGACGGTGAAGAGAGACAAACGAGCAAAAGGTGCCTCATTTGCATACTCCCAGCCCTGTACATTGTGTTAGAATGAACCTTGCTACACAAGGCGTTTGTGTCAAGTTCAATAAAAATCAATTGGGTAAGGGGCTGGGTTGTTTTTGGTTTTTTGGGTATTATAATGGCGTTTAGCCCACATTTTGTAACCTAAAGGCTCGGAAGCTGAATAATGTTAATACTTATACACAAAGTGCAATCTAAGCTATCTGCAGTCGTGCACTTTAAAGGTAATAGGCATTTCTTTTCTTTTCTTTGTTTAAAAAAACAACAACTTTTTTGCGCGTTTTTCCCTAATCGCATAACGTAGACCTCAGGTCCTTAATCTTTTAGCCTGGGAAGACAGGCAGAGAAATCAACGGAACACTTCATTTCTCCACACCTCGCTACACTGACAAGGCAAGGCTGCTGAACATGTCTTTGCCACGCACAAACAGAGATTGGAGAGAAAAACGTTTCGTCACATAACTTATTATAACGTCTAGAATTCTGAAGCAAAGGAAGCGTGTCATCAGCAGTAAAGTGGTAAATTATTCCGGCTTGTCAACGAGTCGGTTGCTTCTCTTGATTTTGAGGGAAGACTGAAACAAAGAGAAGACAGATGATACAAGAACAGAGGCTGATTGAGTAAAATGGATCAAAAGGACTGACAGATAGAAAGGGAAATTATTTAAGAAATTTAATACGATTAAGACGAACCTCGGCAATGCTTATCAAATGTTGCTCTGTTCATAGCAGAGTGTTTATTAAACTAGTTATTATTATTCAATATTTTAATCCTGAAATTATGACCATCCCTGTTCTACGTAATAACAAAAAGCAGCAAACCTATAGAGGCCTTTTTTCGACTTCTACATCTCATACGGCTTTCGAAGACTGAGTTTCTTTTACGACTTCTTAGTACTGGTAAAGTTCTAACACTGATTAGCTGTTCACATTTCATTATGATATCTCCCGTCGGTCTCAGTGGGTTCCGAACTTTGGTAATTAGTAGTAGAATATCGTTGGACGCATTCCTGTAGTCTGGAGCTCTTGTATTCTTTCT